ATCTCCGTGCTATCCAAGGGACTCTCACGAGTCGTCTCCCGCACCACAGTTCAAAAGTATAAATTCTTCAGCACTTTGCCTTCTTTACGGTCCAGCTCTTATAATCATACATGACTACTGGAAAGACGATAGCCTTGACTATATGGACCTTTGTTGGCAAAGTGATGTCTTTGCTTTTTAACACACCCTCTAGGTTTGTCATAGCTTTCCTGACAAGAAACAACTGTCTTCTAATTTCATGGCTGCAGTCACCATCCTCAGTGATTTTAGGACCCAAGAAGAGGAAATCTGTCACTGCTTCCACCTTCTCCCCTTCTATTTGCCATGAAGTGATGGGGCCAGATGCCATGATCTTAGTTTTTTAATATTTAGTTTTAAGCACAGCTTTTTCACTTTCCTCCTTCACCCTTATCAAGTTCTCTAGGTCCTCTTTGCTTTCTGCCATTAGAGTGGTATTGACCACATATCTGAGGTTGTTGATATTTCTCTTCACAATCTTGATTCCAGCTTGTAACTCATTCAGATTATATATGTAATAGGGAACCTATCGCCAATTAGTTTTTTCTCCTTCATAACCAATGAACATTCCTTGAGAGTTAGGTCTATATCTTAAAATCCTCTTAGCACCTTGGAAAGTTCCTTTTACACAGTAGCTCTGTGTATACAAACCTGTAGTTCATTTGTTATTGTATAGATTATACAAACTATAAAGAAGAAATTTTCAGATACAGTATAGTTGACATTTTATAATAGTGAGTTTGTTTAAGCTCCCTTTCTTTAGGGTACAGGAATTCAACGTTCCTCTTGTCAACTCTTAGCCTTGCACATGAGGAAACATTTTCTGGGATTTCTGGGAAAGCAAAGTTTCTTTTGTCTTTCACATGAGGAACTTGGTGAGATGCTTTCTTTGGATAGTTTGATATGAGTCTGGAACTGTCATGGTCATTTTGCTCCTAAAGAGGATTTCTTGGAGCTACTGGAGGCCATCCAGTAGAGGGTGAGTACGAAGCCCACAGAGGGGAAGGCAGAGCAGAACGGTGGAAAGAACTCGGTGCTTGGTGGCATTATTTGCATCACTGGAAAAAAAAACCTGACTGAAAACTAAACCTTCCTCCTCTGAATTTTTTAGTTGTGAGAACCAATATTGTTGATTTACTGTTCAAGCCAACTGCTTAAGCTGGGTTGTTTGAAACATTCATAAGTCCTGACACAACTAGTATTTATGAAACCAATGCAATGCAGAGGTATAAAGAAAGAAAAGAAATAATCTGTGACTTTTTAAAGGACTGTACACTTCTTAATGTCTTAACTTTTATGCAGTAAAGAAATAAAAATTAGTTGAGGCTCTAAATAAATTCTACAATTTATTCACTGATAGGAATTATGACTTGGGTCCTAAATTTTGTGTAGGAAAAACTTTTGTTATTGGAGAGCTTTTAGAATGTTTCTGGTTAATAATACTGTTCAAATATTCCAAATATCCCTTGAATTTCTGAAGATTAACAGACTTTTCATTAAAAATTTCACTCGTGGTACTGTTTATAACTATAATAATTTCATGTGCTTCTCAATGGTAATCTCTACACTGTAATAATACTGCATCACTAGAAGTTTTTCTTTCCAGTTATATTATACTTCAAATGTCATTTTCCTATTAGGCATATAGTATGATATATTTTCATACACTAAAATCTTATTTATTAATGATTTCTATGCAGGATGGTCTCGAGTTTCTAGCCTATTTGTAAGAAGTTCCTATTAAGAAATTCAATTAAGCATGGGAAAGAATGTAAGAATAATTTATTAACAGATAAAGGTTTTAATTTGCTACCATTTTCCTATCATGTTATTTTGACAGAATGTAAAGAATAAATTGCTAAAGAATGGAGCACAGTAGAATTGGAAGAAAAAGTGATTTATCTTTTAAGAAACATGGGTTCAAAAGTTCACAATATGAAGGACTCTATGTTTGTAAAAGCAGTCAGTGTTCATGTCGCCTAATTTGTTTAGGCTGTCTGTTTACCTCTTTTATTTATCTAACATTAAATAAAATTAGGAGAGCACATGTGGGTCACAAAAGGAAAAGTTCTGGCAAAAGGCATACAGGTTAAATAGATCACCTTTAAAAACTTGAAGAATGTTTACATATTCTAGTTACTTTAGAAATAGTGATTTCCTCATTTAACTTATCTTTTCCACAAGAATAAACTAAAAATCTATAATTGCTAGCAAATATTTGACCATTTGCCTTATCCATATTAATCAAGATGAAGGCTCTATTTTCTTTGGTTGGGATAATGTTTCAAGAACCTTTGAGTCCAAATGTCTTAGTGTACTTGAGTTTGCATTTTTCAGTCTGTTCCAGCCCACACTATATCTACTGCCACAATGCTGCATTCCCAGATTTCTGGTAACTATCTGAGCCTTCCTCTCAGCTCTGGACTAGACTCTCTCCCAGATGGCTAAGATACGTCTTTACTGACTCCTGTACACTCCTTCACCTAGGACAGGGCTTAACATGTATACAGTAAGTGTGTGGTGTAGGTTGAATTAATGACTGAAGAAATGGACAGGTAAATGGAGGAAAGAGAGGAACTTTGGTCTGTAAGCTTCCTTTCATCATAATATCCCAGTTGATTTCAAAGAAAAAGGGCTTTCTTCCTTGTGCTAAAAATAATCTAAAATACCTATTGTAGTGGTTAACTCATGAGTTTATAGCACTATGTAACAAGCTACATGACTATCTGAATGATAAAATCATTTTCTGTAAAATTAAATAAGCATGAACTATATTATATAGGGAGCTACATGAGAGGAATTCTTATGTCAGAGGCTGCATGAGAATCTACACCATACATTTTATTGTGTGTATAAATATATATATATATGCACACTTACATATGTACATATATATACACACACAGTATCTAATACATAATGACTACTGAATTAATGTTAAGTAAAACACATGTTAATAAGATTATGTTAAAGAAGTAATTTAGCAGTTTTCACCTCCACATTTATAAGTTAGTTTGCTCTTGTTTTACATCCAAAGATTACACCTCAATCTTAGAAATTCATGTCAAAAATGCATACCGTTCAAACATCCTAATTCCAATAAGGATGTAACAGTATATATTTATCAACCTTATTTGAAACTTGAAAGACAATTCAAAGTATATGGCATATATCAATGATTTACTACATTATATTTACACCCAATGTATTAGCTAATGCTGATTGCCAGGCGCTCTCAGTATTTTTACACTGATCAATCCAACAACAACCCTATTATTACTGTCCTCGTTATACAGGTGAGGAAACTGAGGAAAAGAGAAATGAAACAGTTGTCTAAAGCCTCAAAGCCATTAAGTGGCAGAATTAGGATCTGCCAGGCAATCTAGCTAGAGTTCTTGTTCCTAACCTCTACTTATTGCCTCTCATGTAGCTCCCTATATAATATAGTTTATTCTTACTTAATTTTACAGAAAATGATTTTATCATTCAGATAATCAATAATCACATTTGCTTCTGAAGGGCAGGCCTTATGAATTCTGCCTGAGTCAGAATACTTATTTGCACACAGTAAATGATTAAAGATTTTTGTTCAGTGCAATCACACTGGAAAAATTATTACACTTTCAGCCATATTGAAATTCAATTGCTAACACTTTTCTACCAGCTATGTGACTCTCAATAAGATACTGGCTAACTGATCCATTAGGTCCCTGGAGTACCTATAACAGCACAGCTAAAATCGGCAATAAGCTAGCAAGTTTGATAGGAAGTCCCATAAATTAAAAGAACTAGAGAGTGAAGGGCAGATAACATGGAAAAATTAGTACACAGGCTTCAGCCACAGGCTAAGAAACATTCCATATGTAATAACAGCTCATATTCATGAAGTGCTTCTATGATCCAAGTACTATGTTACATTTTTTAAATGCACATGTCATTTGACCTTCACAACTGTGTGAAGTACGATTTATTCTCATATTACGAATGGGGATACTGAGGCAAATAGAATGGCTTCAGCTCCCACAAATGTAAGCAGTGACATAGAGAACTTCAACTTACCTGGATCTAATTTTCAAAGGCAAGAAAAAAAGGCAAGAGAAGATGTGCTAAGTTAAAAACTGTCTGTGAGATTAAACTTAAATTGGTTCGCTTTCCTGCCTTGCAGGGCTTATGCTACACTTTTTCATGAGTGCCTCAACCTTCTCCCCGCCAAAACCAAAAGTATACACATATGCACATAGGCCTTTCATGCTGTTGTGGAATACTAAACTAGACAACTAAGGAAGACAGAAAATCCAGAGTGGATGAGCAGAGGCTTAAAATGGCTAACCTGTCTAAACTTTATGGCCTGGCTCTGACATTAGCTGAGGCTAGAGAGAAGCTTTTGGGGCTGAGTATCTAGTTCTTCACTGAATTTCAGAGTTTCATATCCCACGTTAAGTTTCCTCTCAGCAAATGAGGGGAATGAACCAGAAATTGGCTTTTTATTCTTATCATCCATATGTATTTTTTTCTTGCTATTTTTGGGAAAAATCTTCTCTCTTTTATCTTAACAGATCCTTGATAAATTATTGTGTCCTACTTTGTTTTTCCTTATCAAGGTTCTCTCCAATGTATGTACGTACTACAGTTAAGATAACAAGTCTTGTCATCTAAGAAATATATCACATAAATTATTGGTCATATTTTGTACTAAATTAAAGTTTCTGGCCTGAACCTTTAAAACCCAGAATATCAGAACAACCTCTCCTTACACATGCTATTTCTCAAATAGCCATTTCACTTTGTCTACACTAGTACTAATTTAACTTCTTATAGCTTAACTCCTATGCTAAGGAAACAATTTAGATACTGAGTGCAAAAAGAGGAGACATTCAACTTTACCTTTCTTACAACACTAATTGAACATACATACTCTGGTAGAAATGTTTTTAGAATATAGCCTTAAGAAGAAAATTGACTTCTATGTATTTAAAAGTTACCTTTGATAGATCCCTGAAGTTTCCTGGAAGAGTCAAATCCAGCTCTTCTGATTCATAGTTTGTTAATACCCATGGAAACACGGGGTATTGGTTCAGATCATTGTATGTCCGTCCTAGTAAAGAAAGAGAGACATGAAAATCTGTATACACTAACTGCTTAGGAAAGTGTTGACCTTCTTTATAATTGATGAGGCAACTATTGCATTGCAGAAGAAAAGTAACTCTTTTGTTTATTGAACTATGTCTTTATTTAATCAAAAGCACTTATAACAACGTGTTTCAAGTGAATTCACTCAATAATAATTTAGAAGTAAGTAATGAGAATTACTTTCTTATAGGATAACTTGAAGTGATTGCTAGCTATCTGTCATAATCAATCTCTCTTCTTCCTGGGCTAGACCATGTTTCTTAGGCTCCCTTATGAGTAGTTATGCTGTGGGGCTTAAGTTCCAATCAAGAGAATGTGAACACAGTTGGTATCGGCACCTCCAGGCTTGTTCATTGCAGCTTGGCACTTGGATGCTCCATGCCCATCTCTTTGCAGCTGAACATGATGAGGACGCTACTGTCACCTTGGAAGCAGAGCCTTGTAGGCCAGGGTCTCTGAAAGTGATCGTGGCGGAGGTCACCAGCTGGCCTGCCCACTTGCAGATCACGTGATGGTGTTCTATTATACCAAGCACATACCTAAAAATTCTATTGCCAGCACACTGAATACTACATTGTGCTTCTCTTGACAATCAAAGTAGAGAATTTTCAAGTTAATGGAAGTACACTGAAGTCAGTATGGAAAAGCAATGAGGCAGATGTCAAGCATGTTTTTTCTTCACTCCCTTAAGCTCACAAATTTTCTTTCCTATTATATTGTTTCAGTTTAGCAGAGAGCTGCTGAATGCTAGCTGGATATTTTTTTCTGTTTGTTTGTTTTTTATTTTTAGACATAATAATTTTTTTCAGGTAGGATACTGAAGCCTGTGCTTAGGGAGAGCACAGCACAGGCTCACCCTGATAAACTGATACTGAAATTACACGTGATCAGATGAAATTCAGAGAAACATGATTAAGCAAACAGGGTCCAAAGACAACTTTTATTGGAAAAGATTGTTTCTTGTAAAAATATGATATGAATTGAACATAGGACTTCCTATATTTCCATTCAAACCCATAAAAAATAGCTATTTCCCTGATATTAGTGATAAGAATTTCATCTTGTATGCCTTGGTGCACACACCATATTAGTATAACAGTAGAACAGATATACACATTCTTATCTATCTTCAAGAACTGACATTAAATGATACCTACTCTTGTAGCAACTGGTCACTGATTGTGAAATAGAAAAAAAAAACACATAATCTGAGGAAGAACTAAATCTGTTAACAATTATAAGCATGAAATCAAATTAATTCACTGAGTAAACATTTTATTGGATGATTGTTTTATCTGTTCTTATGTGAATCTCTGCATTTTACAATAAAAATACCTATTGTTTTAAATGCATAAATTAATGTAGGTGCTTATCATATATGAAGGCAATTGAAAGAAAGCAGAATGTCACTCCCACTTTGCATTTCCTGAAATGAGGTGAGAATAACGTTGGGATTTCCTCTTTGTTCTCTGCCGTAGCACTGTTGCAGATGTGTCACAGCTAATATTTGCCTGCTTCTCCACTAGTCCTGTAAACTCCAAAGCGTAGGGTCTGAGCTTTAAAAATAAAAAGCAAACTCTGTGTGTTGAATACTCTGTTTGTCTGATGGATATCTGTTGAAGGAATGAATACATACATGATAAAAATGGGATAAAGTGAGACAGATTTTACAACATGAACAAACATAAGCCAAATAAAGAATGGAAACTGCAGGATAGTCCTGTAGGAGGATGAGGACTGTGTAAAGGCACAGAAGTACAAAGAGAGAGAATGGCCCCGTGAGCATGCATGTTAAACCACCAGAAGGGAATACTGGCAGTCAATGAATGTGCTTACTTTACGTTTGCAACTCTATTGTGATGAATAATAGTGACGAGAGTAAGCAAGAATTTGGAACCTTTTAATTAAAGTTTTTCTTTACCAGAATATGGAGATATTCTTCTAAAGCAGCCACTGTAAGATACACAGTGTGGAATTCTAGAATTAAATATTATTACTGAGAGTTCATGTCCATGTTAACCTAGGACCCCTGGTGACTCTCAAGTGTGTTTTCCACGCTTGTACAGACACAGGGAATCTAGCCTGGCTGGGCAGAGCTATCTCTGGGGTTCTAAGGAGTTTCCTGGCATATTTAGTGCTCTGCCATTCTTTCAGTTACCATTCTCCTTAAAAATCTGTAGATTTTAATGAAAGCGAGGTCTTCCAATATATGTGTATTTTTAGAGATTAATTTGACGTTATTTATGTAACTACTTATATAAATAAATGAACAGCTGAAAATTATATATCATATTTTAAGAAAATTTCTGATTACATTTCATAACAAGGAGAAACTGTTAAAATAAAATAAATAAAATGCCAATTTACATTAACTCAGTACTTAAATGTATTGTTCAAGCACAAACAGCATAAAAATAGAGACCATACTTGAAGACACTGTTTTTTTCCAGAAATGATTTTCTAATAAAGACCTAATGCTATTTTTAGAAAAAAAAATTTTTAAAAATAAAGTATATTCTTTACCAAACACACACAAATTGATGGCTGCCAACAGTCACAGCTCACCATAGTTAACCTGTCCTGCATTTTTTGTAATTCACTTTTAATAATCTTTGGAAGATTCTTTAAAAATAAATGCTTAGAAAACTTTGGTAAGTTTTTAATTACTAAAGTCATTTTAAATCCAATAAGTACATTAAACTATATAAATAGCTGTTCTGACAGTTACATTAAAATCTTTTTATATAAAAATTTCCACATAAAAGCTTTGCAACATGGACAGCAAATATATATTTTTGATTTTAATTAAAAACTCATGATGTATTTAAAACCCTCATGGATGCAGTTGGTACTCTGGTACTTTCCATTTGTAAGTTTTAGCCACAAATTAGCATTATTATTTTTAATTATTTTACTAAACACCTTTGTGAAATGGAAACAACAACAACAACTGCTGTTTACAAAATTAACCAAAAAAGTGAAATATTTTCAAAGCAATACCTGTTAGGTTCTGGTACATATAGGTATTTATGAATTTTTTTGGATAATTGAAATTTAGTAAATAACCTTGTGCTGTAATTGGTAGGGTTCCTTTCTTTTCCCAGTAGTAATAAGTGAAGAGCTTTTTTTTTTTTTAACTAACTATGCTTATAAAGACTTATCTTGGAGGATGAATATTAAATATCATAAGCTTATGACACTAATCTACTCAAACAATAAAAGTGAAGCACAGTAAATGAGATCTCAGAAACACTAGATATGTTTCTTCATTTTAAAAAAAACTTTTAATTAAACCATCCAATTTAATGTTTTTATATGGCACTTTAGTTTTGAAGGTAAAGTGATCTAGAGACAGCTGACAAAGAAATTATAACTGCAATTCCTTGGTGAAAATGTTAATGACAGCAAAATATTGTTTAATTAGATGATTGCAGCATCTGGATTAACACTCTTTAAGAGCGATGTTCCTGTGCTTGTCTGCTTCTTCACACTTTACAGACATTTTGTCATCTCTAGGTCATTAGGAAAGAATTTTTAATGATTTTTCTAGAAGCAAGCAGTTCAAGTTACATCTAATTAGATGACAATAATAAGCCCAACACATGCAGTAGCTAAATATATACATAATTAACCAGGGAGGGCTTGTACATCACAGAGTAAAAAAGTGGAAAATGCTAAACAGGAGAAAAAGGTTGGGGTTGAGGAAGTTGTGCTGAATTCATTAGCTGATCATATAGAAAACAACTCAGAAAGCTTTTTAAGAAACCTTCCAAACCTAACCGGATCACTTACATGAAGCTATGTTAGCAGTCACAATTTTTTTTTCTTAATGCCAGATTTTAACATCTTGCTCATAGTCTTACCTAATAAAGTACAAAATGAGGCATAGGTTGTATCTTTTGAAGCACAATAAACAGAAATTAGGTCAACTCTGGAAGTTAGAAGTTGAACTCACATTTTTAGTCAAACTCTAAGCATCACTGAAAATCTTCCAAAACTTAATGTTCTTTAAAAATAAAAACAAACAAACAAAACCTGTTGTTTCAAAATAGTTAAATTTTACAACAAGTTCTATGCTAGACTTTCATGTAATTTTAAGATTATGCTTTCTATTTCATGAGATAGGAAAAGTAGAATGTAAACCTTTAGGTGTAGCAGACTCCTAAAGATTACCACACAGAGAAAAATCACCAAAATCTCACTTATGATATTTATGGCTAGACTTAGGACTGATTAAATTTTTAAATTATAATTTTCTATATTTCCATTTTTCTATAGTGAGTAATTGTTAAATTTATAAATATATAAATAAAGGCCATTAAAACATTTATGGGCCTTTAGGTGATTTTTCAAAACAGTATGTTTTCTGAATATTTGATAAGCTTCTTTTACTATGTGAAGTATCTTTATAAAATGTATATATGGTAAACTATATGCAATTGTAAATATATACATATGTCACATGAGGGTCTAAAAATCTACATACTGTACTAATACTAGGACACTGCTGCTGTCTGCTTTAGTTTTATTTTTAAAAGAATCTATAAAGGAGAAAAGACAAATTGTCCAAGTATGAGAGACCTCAAGAAACAGACAGCAAGAAATGAGTCATAAAATGTATTTCACATTTCATGTTAAAGTAATGGAGAAAAATGGTAAATCTGAGAGTGTAAGAATTACTAGAATATTTTTTATAGAACATGTGGATTTATTAAGTCACATTGACCTATATTTTTAAAAACTTGAAGCCAGAAAGGGTTGTTTCATCTTCTCAATTGGTTTCTACTCTGTAACTCTTCTGTTTAATCCAGGAAATATAAAGAATCCCTCATCCAGCGATTCTAGTGCATTCGCATAACAGATTATAAAATCATGCAAACACAGAGTATGAATATTAAATCAGCTCAATTTGATGAGAGTTTATAGAGCAAAACTTTGACTTCATAATCTTATTGGAAAGAAGTG